TAATTCAGCCAGTAAGATAGAAACACTTGTGTGACTTGTGAGTCACTCACATAACTGGCAAAAAAAGAACAGATTTCTCAAATGAATCAGTTTAATTAATTAATCAGAAGATAAAATCTGCCAGAGTGAAATATTCCGTCCTCTTGTGCATGAGATTAATAATGTTACACAGAAAGAGATTTTTCATCTAGACCAATGCTTATCAATCTTTTAGATATATTTTAATGTAAACTGGGAAAGTGGCGTGGTGGTTAGCACCATCGCCTAACAGCAAGAGGATTCTGGGTTCGAGTCCCCACTGTGTGGAGTTTGCATGTTCTCCCTGTGTCTGCGTGGGTTCTCTCCGGATCCTCCGGCTTCCTCCCACGATCCAAAAACTTGCATGATAGGTTGATTGGACATTCCAAATAGCCCTTAGGAGTGACTGTACATTGTTGTTTGTCCTTGTGTGTCTCTGTGTGGCCCTGCGATGGACTAAACTATCAAGATTATATTCACGGTGCTCCTTTGGGATTGAAAATAAACCACAGATGGCACCAGTGCAGACTTTGTTTGTACTAAAGGGATCTTTCAGAGAAGAGTACAAGGCTCATGATTTTTTACGTCTAGGCATCAGAATGAAGAGCGAGAGAAAAAAAAGTTTTACATGCTGCGTAAAAATATTTTTAAAATGAAAAGAATTGACATTTAGTATGATTTATCTCAACACTTGCTGACAATGACTTTTGCAGTTGAGGTATTCTGCAGTTACAGCACATGTCAAATTAAATGGCAGAGATATGAAGGGAAACATGCTTTCAAATTTCTCTGTGACTTTAAGAGTCTTTATTCCTCACATTCTCCAACATGTCATTTCCTGCCTTCTGTAAATGTGTATTTTTCTGCCTCATTTCTCACTTTTAAACAGAAAGCATGTCAAATTTTCCCTTAGAATTTTCTAATGTTATTCTTCAAAAATCAGGGTCATTGGATTGAAAATAATTTTAAAGTGACATTTGGTAACAGAGTAAATGCTTCAGACTAACACATGTGTAGCGTTTCTGTAGAATAAATTATGATTTGTGGATATTTGCCTTTATTAAAAAAGAAGAAGAGCCACTAAAAGCACACACAACTGGTAAAGATTTTAAAGCAGCTTTCCAATCTTGCGTTTTCCACCCAGGTTCAGCCCATATGAATGGTACGATGCCCACCCCTGTAATCCAGGATCAGACGTGGTAGAGAACAACTTTACCCTCCTGAACAGCTTCTGGTTTGGTGTCGGCTCCTTAATGCAGCAAGG